CCAATACTTTTTATTCCATTCAATTACTTATAAAATAGTTTCTTCATAAAAAAATATAATGAGGGGGGAGAATCATTACCCCCAACCCCAATATTGAAAAGAAAAAAAAATTCCATCTAACTGTCAAAAGTGATAGGAAATGTTTCATCACGGATAATTATGGAAACCGCATTTTTGCATTATTACCCCCTACCAAATGGGGGTGCAAATGAAAAAAAAATCGGTGGATTTCGCTGAATTTTTGATATGATGTAGTCCATATGATTCTGATTAGAAAATCATCGGGTGACAATCCTAAAAAATGGACAGTTTTTCTGCTATAGGGGGTTTCAAGTGACATTTTGAAAAAAATAGACTACCATTTGATTCTGGATAGAAAGACAACAATTTTCAATATTGTATTCCTATTCCTTGATGATTTTATATTCGGAAATATTGGAAGGGTTTACACCCCACAACCACCTTGAAAAAAATCCGCGCTACTGTTAGAAGCATATGAAAATGTTTAATCACGAGAAATTATATGGAAAAAGCATTGACTCATTATTTACATGAAAAAAAGCGTGAGAAGTGTTTCAAAAATTGATCTTGGTCCCTGACGACATTGTGGAGTAATTGAATGCCAATAATTCATTATCAGTCCACTAGCCCTTTGCGTTGGTCGAAATAATCAATCGCATTATTTTTTTGGCGCCACTAGATGGCGATAACATGACTAGATCTAGACTAGACTATTTTGATCGAAATGTGAATTCCTCCCCCACCCATTTGCTGGGGGCAATCATGCAAGAGAGCTTTTTCCATATAATTTCTTGTGATTAAACATTTTCTTATGATTCTCACAGTAGCACGGATTTTTTTAAGCTGGTTGGGGGGAGGGGTGAGACCCCCCAATAATTCCGATTGAAAAATCATTAAGGATTAGGAATCAATATTGAAAATAGTTTTCTATCTATTCAGAATCAAATCGTAGTTTATTTTTTTCAAAATGTGAATTGAAACCCTCTATAAAAAGCAGAATAACTGTCAATTTTTTAGGATTATCATCATATGGATGGACTACATCATATCAAGAATTCAGCGAAATCCACCGAATTTTTTTTCATTTGCACTCCCCATTTGGTGGGGGGAAATAATGCAAAAATGCGGTTTCTATAATTTATCCCTGATGAAACATTTCCTATCACTTTTGACAGTTGACATAGTCAATCAAAAGTTAAGATAGGAACATGTAAGCCGTTTTGATCGATAATGAATAGTTTCGACGAAAAAAAATCCTAACATTGAAAAAACTCGATTTTGAACACCCTATATCTCTGTAATCATTCCTGCTAAACCCCAGGAAGAATCTATAAATGCATAATAAACTACAGGGTGTTCCATTTGAAATAACACAGTTGCTAGTTGTTTCTGATAGAAGTGGCAACACTGTATCTATGAAAATATTTTAAACGGATAAAGAATGTTCAATTCCGAAAGTATCACAATTTTCAGAATGTTCTGTCTTTTCGTTCTCCAGATACTTCTAATAGGCCATCCACCGTGGATCACCCTGTATCGGCAGCTTACTTGATATTTACTATTTAGCCGTCATTGCATCGACAATAAACCAGAGCTTTTCTAGTAGTTTAAGGTTCGAGCTACCTAGGGTCCCTTGATGCAATCTGACGTATTTGTCATCTAACAGGGTATGGACAGATCATAGCTCCTTTCTCTTTTAATCATCCAGTGACTTTGGCTCGGACTTTGGTTTCGTGTATTGGCGTCCCTGACATGACATTGCTGTCACGTCACATTCATAGGCGTTGAAAGAAATCTTACAAAATTCTAATTTCATACTTCATCTTATACGACATTATTCATTCTGTTTTGGAAGTATGGTAAAATGTGCTGCGTTAGGCTGTATCAAACAGATGGATGGCAAATTTAAATTTGTCAGATTTCCATCAAATGCAAATGAACTTAGAACATGGAAAGTGAAGTGATCGAATGGGGAAAATTGGTAAATACATCAGCAAAATATTCGAGGTAAAACTAATACGAAATCACATATTATACTTTCTCATTGTGCCTATAATTATCCACTCCACAAGTTTTTGAATGCATTTTAGTAGGAACAGTTTTGATTAAAACGGAGGATTAAAAGAAGAGGCATATGCTCTACCATTCAAAAAATCATACCTACATTCAGGAAATATTAAGTGTTCGTGAAAAACTGAAAAAATGATTCCCAACATGAATATATACAGCACACATGACATATGAGCACATTAGTTTAAATACCTACATACAATTTTTCACCATTTCTCAACCATAAGGCTTAGTCTGAAATCGAAATTCATTTATTGATAGGTACTGCCTAAGAACAGTCCCATTTGGTATAATGTATTAAACTTTCAGAAAAATTTGATTACTGCCTCACAAATATTATGCTGGAATTGAAAAATCAAAAACTCGAAAATTATCATCATCATTTGGATATAATATGTAGAGTTGAATGAGAAATTACATGTGGAAATTACGTATGATACGCCAATGTCCTCAATGTAACCTAAAAAACAACAAATGTCAGAAATCTAGTGTTTATCCCCAGAAATGAATAAAGATGGAACTATATGTATAACTGTTTCACAAACACTTTAGAGTGAGAGGGGACAAGGATCTGTCCGTACCCTGTTAAGATGACGTAAATACGTCAATTTACATCAAGGGACCCTAGAGCTACCTACCCAATACAATGTTTTATAGGTCTTCATTATACGGGCTGTTGGGAATTTGATAAAACCGGATGAAACCCAGGGAGCACAAACATCTCTGGGATGTTTTGAAAATGTTGGAATGAGGATATTTTTTTGAGATGTAATATGCACTTCCCAAAGAGGTGTTCAAAGGATATTGGAAGTATTGTTTTTGTTTTTCTGTTGCATTTCTTTGTCTTCCTACTGAGAGGTATTAGAGAAATAAAAATAATGTCAACATGCGGATCTCATTTGTAGACACAACATAGCCTGCCTTGAGAGGTTTATTGCAGATATTCAATATATACATCCAATTTCCAGTTTCATAATGATTCTCGACATTGTTTTCAATAACTCCACCATTTTACACACAATTGAACTTCATTGAATTATAAATCACAGTATATTATATATTTTTATGCACGACCGGGCGTAAAGTTGCACTTTACTGCCCGGTTTTGTAGGCGTAAATGGGCACTTTACCGCCGGCGGACTACTTTTCCGCCCGGCGGGCGATAAAGGCATCGAGCTGGTGGTAAAGCTAATGTCACTGTCATATCGATAGAAATCTAGATTCCAATGGTTTCAATTAATGCAATGCCTAGGCGGTCCATAAAAGCCTATTTTACGCCCTTGATACATAAATAACTATTTCGACTCCTCACTTCAACTATAATATGATTTTTCCCGAATTTTCAATACTCCAGGTTGTCTACACCCGCTAAGAGAGAACATGAGCAGGGTTTAGGACCGAAGGTACCTATATAAAACTAATTTTTATTCATATATCGAATACAGACTGTTTTACCACTAACCAAACCGATTTTTTACGCCTCGACACGTGTTTCAACAACTATGTTAGCATCTTCAGGAGAAGATTAGAAATTCAGTGTCAATATTCTCCTGGAGATGCTAACATAGTTATAGCAAGGCGTACAAAATCGTTTTGGTTATAGTGGTAAAACAGGGTGTAGTGTAATTTTTATTCCATTACAACACCAACGACCTATTTTTCTCAGAACAGAAGCAGCGACATATAGGTGTATTATTCATTCTGATTAAAAAATAAAAATATGAATATTTTAAATGGAAAACAAATAAAGTATCTATCAGGTCCATAATCTGTAATAATATCCCAAACAGCACAGAATATTTAAGGAATATTCTGACAACGTTCAGAACGTTCCTACTTAGTCTAGAATATTCTGATAGAATGTTATTGTCAGAAGGATCATAGATTATTTTCATTCTATGGAAATAATAAATATTCCATGAACATTCAATTTGACATATTCTCATCAGAATATTCTGAGTTCTGAGAATATAGAGAATCCTATCAAAATAAGATATGGATGTTATTCTTGTATCAATATTTATAATATTTCCCCTGACTCACCCAATTGAGTATTCTCTATGTCTCGACATTAACATCTCTGAGATGTTTTTGTGCTCGCTGGGAACTTAGTCCACCCCTGATAAACTAACAAATAAGGTACCTACCTAAATAAGTTTCAGGGACACTATTCCAAGGAGTCCTTATTAGTGCCAATCATATCACATTATCATTAAATTATAGGTACCTATCACTTATTTTAATATCTATCAAGAAAACTTCCCAGCAGCTTCCTTTAGTTCCTTTAGGGGGGCCCATGTCTCCATAAGGAATGCCTTCAGGAAACTTTTTTATAAGAGATCTCATGTTTTCAGGTTTTATCCCGGACCAAGACCCGGACATTTACCAACCCAATATTCTCGGAAAATCCAAGTAAATGTTGAAGGAAAAGTTAGTCCTCTAAATGAAAAGGAACAGAGAAATGCGTCATATTTATGCTGAAATCTAGGCCTAGGCTGCAATCATTAGAATTATTTTTGACTCTTCCAGTCTACTTTAGTCCCGATTAGTGCGGCATAGATATTAACTCGGATATTAATAAGAGCTTACACACATTTGTGAATGAACTACAATAGGCATGAACGACGAAAATAATAATAATAAAGTTTATGAACAAAAGAATCAGTAATAAACTGAATACCTACAGCATCATTGGAGTGAAAAAATAAGTAACCTACTTAATACTTATACTACCTGCCACATTATTTTGAAGATTGTCAAGTGTGAATGGGAATTCCTCATTATGATATGAGAACATCTAGGCAAATATTTTTGCCTATTATAGGTATATAAAAGACAATAAAAGAGAAATTATTAGTGTCTGAAGTTTGTCTAGTGAGAAAAGTGATAGGAAAATCAATATACCTTACCTTACTGGATCTACTCCACTTCGAAGCAAAAATGAAAAGCTTTGAAATAAACTTGGTCTTCAGTACTTTGACAATTTTTCATTTTACACCGTTTTGGAGAAAATCACAGCTGATAGATCAGCTAACAGGCGACAAAGACCACTTCTCTTCTATCAAGAAACAGAAAAAGCCATGAATTCGGATTCATGGCCTTTTGCTTTTACTTTATTTTTAGCCCCGGATCTGTGCAGTGCGCCGACGCTGCGACTCTGAGGGTTCATCGTTCATCACATCACTGTTAGGGGAGACGTGGGCATAAATTGCATTGTAGTACCTACTGATACTACTGATGCAACTTAACTTCTTAACTGATACAAATTGAATCACTAAGTCTAGATCACGTAGTTAGGTACTAACAGGTCGCCTACACTATAGGAAGTTTTCATTTTGATCGACAATGGCCTATATTAGAGAACTGTTTGATTATCCTCTTTACTGTCTATAAATATAGGTACCTATTACCTATCATAAAACCAGAGATAATTATACAGTGTGCTATGCTATGCATGAAACAATTTAATTTTATAATTTACACAACACACATAATATACCGCACTAGTGCTGTAAAGTGACACTTCACCGCACTAGTGCATATTGGGAGGAGGTTATAGTGTATCATGTAACAAGTGTTATAAACGTCATTTCAGTATGAATTTCATGAATTTCTTTTGTTTACTCACCTTTGTGAATAAGATTTCATCTGACGTATAGTAGATAAAAACTCTTCGATTCGCTGAGGTGTCAAAGTTTTCGATTTATCACTTTCTCAGATTTGTATCCATATTACCTAAAACATTGTCGTCGATTTCACTTTCGTCTATATTTCGCAAAGATTTAGAACGAAGAATTCTGATACAAACAGAAACTGTTTGAATAATTCTGATTGCACCTGAATTCCAAAATGACAGTTGATCCACGACTGAAGATGTGCTTTTGGGTGTATGATAAATTGACATTCATCATACAGGGCGTGGAAATGAATTCTGAATTGAGACTCTATCACGAATCTGCGATTAGAGGTCTATAAAAATCACAAGTTTCCATCGTTCAAGTTTGAACCCCCTGATTGGGTATAAAAGTGTTGAAAAGGAATATTCTCAGATAAATTATGAACATACAAAAATGGATATATATTTATATAAAGCAATACATTGAGAATTCGCATTCTCTATATGTGATGAGAATATTTACTCTTTTTCAGTTAATTCAATAGAAAACAACTACTTTCCTGGCTATATGCCACGACGAACATTGAATTATATCTATTGAAAACATACGATAAGAGTTTGAAAATAAAATATAAAAATTTTTTCTGAAATTGAGAATTCGCATTCTCCTTCAGACAAAAATAGGTATATACACATATCATTCTGAATATTCAACAGAAAACAACTACTTTCCTGGCTATTTGCCACGTCGAACATTGAATTATATCTGATGAACATTCAAAAGGGAATATGAAAAATAAAGAATAAAATCCTCCGAAACTGAGAATTGACATTCTTCTTCAAATCGGATGAATAATATGATGAATAATGATCTAGAAATATGACTTACCAATATATTCAGCATTGAAATGAAAATTGGAATGTATAGGAGAAGTATACTGGCATGAACTCTGATCTTGATGAGCTTGAAAACGTCCAAAAATAATCATTCATATCAGTGATATGGGAAATATTATCTCTCACACACAGGTTATATGACTTTATTGCAATGAACCCATTTCGGATCTCAGAATCCTCATCAGTAACCATGATGTCCACTTATTCTTACAGCCATTATATAGAGATGAAAATTCTGTATATCATGAAGAATGGCTGTAAGAATAAGTGGACATCATGGTTACTGATGAGGATTCTGAGATCCGAAATGGGTTCATTGCAATAAAGTCATATAACCTGTGTGTGAGAGATAATATTTTCCATATCACTGATATGAATGATTATTTTTGGACGTTTTCAAGCTCATCAAGATCAGAGTTCATGCCAGTATACTTCTCCTATACATTCCAATTTTCATTTCAATGCTGAATATATTGGTAAGTCATATTTCTAGATCATTATTCATCATATTATTCATCCGATTTGAAGAAGAATGTCAATTCTCAATTTCGGAGGATTTTATTCTTTATTTTTCATATTCCCTTTTGAATGTTCATCAGATATAATTCAATGTTCGACGTGGCAAATAGCCAGGAAAGTAGTTGTTTTCTGTTGAATATTCAGAATGATATGTGTATATACCTATTTTTGTCTGAAGGAGAATGCAAATTCTCAATTTCAGAAAAAAATTTTATATTTTATTTTCAAACTCTTATCGTATGTGTTCAATAGATATAATTCAATGTTCGTCGTGGCATATAGCCAGGAAAGTAGTTGTTTTCTATTGAATTAACTGAAAAAGAGTAAATATTCTCATCACATATAGAGAATGCGAATTCTCAATGTATTGCTTTATATAAATATATATCCATTTTTGTATGTTCATAATTTATCTGAGAATATTCCTTTTCAACACTGAAGATGTGATTGAAAAACTTTGTTGCCATGGTAATGTTTTTGAGAAATTGTGTTGCTATGGTAACGTCACAGATCATCAATCCGTGATTAATCGATCATTTAGCGTGGTACATATCCGCCGTACGCTAAATGCCATTTTAGTTATGTGAGTAGAAAAAAATAACAACGGCATAGTCGAGATAGAAAAAATTGTAACAATTGCTCACAATTATTTCAACACTTGTATACTTACCACGTATTATATTATCATTATATATATATTTAGTGCTAATCGGTATATCACGTCATCGAGAGCTAGCGAATTTGAGAGGTGATTGCAAATTATATTTGTGAGGATTTCAAATAATGATAATGGATTACTGTATCCAAAAATACTTATTAATACATGGTGATCAATATAAAATATTTAGAAAAAAATCATTTCGTGATTTTATCAATCGTTTTGTTTTCACATTTCTGCCGAATAAACAAGTTTTCGTGAGATTTATTGACACAATTTCAAGAACTCGGACATGGAAGATTCTATGTATGTATAATATTCATGAGGTCTACATAGTTTTCTTATAAAAATATTTCGATATCGTATTCATGACTGCCCTATACGATTTTAAGAGTCCCTTAGAAGATACATTACTATTTGTGTGTAGTTACGCATGACCTATGAACTATACTATATTCTTTAACTATAGCTGGTCGCAGACGGCAGACTATTTTCGAAAGAGAAGGGGAGAGAATAATATCTATTAGGTATACGCCAGTAGATGATTATATTATGAGCGTTTTCAATTATGGTTACCTTCCAGGGAAGTTTGAATCTGAAGTCTCTTTATAGGTCATCTGTTATCTGCTTGTCATCGTGTAAGTACGGTTTATTATTGATGAATGATCCATCACGGGATCTCACATCATGATGATGACGCAGAAGATTTTCTGAAATAGTTATTTTCCTTACAAGTGCGCAAATTGTTACTTTTCCGCACGTGAAAATAGCTATTGAAGATTGTATAAGTTTTATCGTGCGGAAAAGGCACTTTGCGCACGTGTTAGGAACAATATTTTTTCTACGAGCTTCATATCATATAACAACGATTATTTTCTTCGTATGATTCAAAGATTAAAACCAAACAGAACGTTCAATTGAGTTAAGCTACCTAGTTTAATTTCGAATACATGTGGATATTACATATTAGATTTAGAATTATGTCCATAGTAACCAACTCATATTGTTACATACAAACAAAGCGCGTCGTAAAATTTTGTAGTGTGTTCAAAACTACTCAACAAATAATCGCATCGAATACAATTCGAACTTCAAACTATTCTAGATTATACGTCTCAAACTTCCATAATTACCAATCGTGTCAGTTTATCAGAATAATTCTGCCTCTTCGCGGTCGGATTATTTCAACTGTGAAACTGATACTCTTTGTGATTATGCAAACAGTTATCAATGTATAACCCGAAATTGTGGAGTACTTATAGTATTACTACTGAAAATAACGACGCGAAGCGGAGTTCGTATAAGTTTCTGCGGCGAATAAGGCAGTTTGCGCACTTCAGATAACGAAAATAAAAAAAATAAAACCATTGAATAATTCTCAGTTAAATTCCATAGCAATAAGTATATAACAAACAATTATATGGATATAAAAAATAATATATAATTAAATTATTTTTTCTTGAAATTATAATGAAATAACAATTATTATTGACAATTTGCAAATTGATTGCAGATTCGGCCAGCTCATTTAATGGGTAGCAGAAGACTTAGCGCAGAAGGGCAGTTGATAATAGGGCTTGAAAGGTTGACTTAACTTAACTTAGAAGGACAGCTGTTCATGCGGCTTAATGAAGGTTGACTCAAAATGCATAGAAGGGCCGCGAAGGGCAGATGTTATATATAATTCGACAAATCAATTTTTTATTTGAAAAAAACCTTGTCCGCACAGCGTGCGGAAAAGTGGGATATTTACGTACCCAGTTAGCCAGGAAACACTTTTGATTGGTCTAAAAATGGTCCATATCGAAAAGTACAACTATTCGATTTCTTGTATCAATATTTGTATCAAAATTAGTCATGCTGAAATACTCGGGGAATTCATGAAGATTAGATCTCAAGATTTGATTTTGAATATGGAAAATAAATTGACTCATCATTACCCTGATCGCCCCTATGAATTACGAAAAAAATGAGTTGCTTGTTAAAGAGCATGGGCGTTGAAAAGGGTAGAGGGGGAGAGAAACGATACATCTGTGACGATCATGACGATACGTGGAAACCACACGAACCCATCTCGAATTCGAACCGATAAACGTCAGAACATGAAACAAAAGTCAAAATGAAATGACACACCTGTCACCTGATGATGGATGAGTGATGTCAGAACCAGAAATAAGAATAAGGTTAGGTTAGGTTCTAAAATTGTTAAAGATATTATTTATTTTGAAAATGAAGGCAAATTTGATAGAGGAAAATAAAAGAGAGATCTCAAACAAGTTACAGAAGGTAAAATATTCCTGGATTGTAGTGAGAAATCAAATATGAAGACTATTTGATTGGAATGATTGTGAATATCTTAGAAAACATTGAAAACAACTATAACTACTTTCCAGCATTTTGTTAACATCCTTTGAATGTATTTCTTTGATTTTAGGAACAAGATAATCTAAAATTACTACAGGAGAGGCTCTCCAAGAGTGCACAATTGACTGAGGGGATAGGGTCTATTCTAAATACATTTGAACAGAGATTGTCCCGCTTAGAAGAAACAATCCTTCCAGTATATAATGAAACAGAAAACTTGCAGAAAGCACAACATAGTATCCTTATTGAAAACTTCAATATATTATGTAGGTACCTGGTGAAATTTCTTGGGAGTGTTCATATAATATAGATGATATTCAGTACCTTCCTTTGAAAGGAGGTATGAAATTTGAACTAGACCATATATTTGCCCTATTGACTCTCTCACACCTGATGTGGGTGGGCCTTGGTGCATGTACTTGTGGACACCTATTAACAATCTCTAGAGCTCTAGAGTTGGCTATATATGATTATAATCCAAAATCAAACAACACATTCACATTTCTATGATAAAAGGACACTGTTGTGTGTAGTTTATTTCATCTCTCTATTCAGAATTTTTTCTCTGAATTCAGACATTTTTCATCATTGCTGAAGAGATAAAGGTTCCTGCAGGCATTTTTTTGTGGGACCATCCTTTTTTTACATGATATCCTATAGGGTGTAACTGCTGAAACACATTTCTTTTTGTAACTGTTAAATGCTGTCCAGAATGCTGTAATAGGATGAAGAATCACATTTTATTGGTACATGGCAAATCCCTAACTCGAATAATCATCTGGAAAAACTTTTCAATAGAGAAAAAATGACTACCTTTAATATATCACACCTTCATCAAATTGAAATCAATCCAATTAATTTCTACACCCATACATGTCATCATCATTTACATTCACATAATTTAATTTCTTGATCAGGTTTCACCAGTAAATACAAATGCTGTGTAATCATAGCATAGCTTATCAATTTCCCATAGAAGTTTTTCATTTTAGCAGTGCAAGATCCAAGGCTAAACATCTTATGCCATAGCAAGTGCTCAATTTTTCAATGAGTTTACCTCGGAGTTTACATTGCTATATGATGTTGAATTGGCCCAAGGCCAGATCCAGAAATACTACCAGTGCTCCAGTTTTATATGAAACTATATTGATCTGCTGTGACCTCGGCTGTGACTATATGCTTTCCTGAAGTTGCACCCTATATAGGAAACAAAGCATCTTACTTCATCCTTCAAGCAGTTATGCACAGGAGTATGCACCCGTGATTATCTACCCTGAAGTTTTGGAACACCCTGTAGAAAAAAGTCTGAATTTAGAGGAAGATGTCTGGATTCAGAAAAAAAATCTGAATTCAAAGAAAAATCTGAAATTATTGAAGAAAGAATGAATAAAGAGATGAAATAAATCAAGCACAACATTGACCTTTCTAAGCTTTTCATACATGACAAGTTCAGAAAATACTGTTTTTTTTCTGCAATATTGTTCCTGGGATGAGCCATATGTATTTTTTTGGCATCCTTGTGGAATACCAAGTCCTCTACTAAATCAATGAGGCACATTTATAGATAACATCCCATACTGCTCTGCAGGGTTGAGATTGTTTAAACAAATGATTTAAATCTTGATTTAAATCAACTGATTTTTTCAATTTTAATCATGATTTTAATCAATTATGAATTGCTGTGAAAACAAGTCACCAAAGTAGGTAACTGATCAGGAAATTCAATAAAAGGATATTAAAAACTGTGTTTACATTCATTATGTGAGTGCAACTGTGAACAAAAACGTTACTCAGACAAACCTATAAAAAACATAAAAAAATATGTGTTTAGGAAGTGTTTAGATGCTGAAGAAGCTGTAGCAGATAACAGTTGTCCAGACAGTTGTTTAATGGTGGGCAGTACTTTTTGAATAGCATTGACATTCTGTTGGGATTTCCACCAATTTAAAGGTTTTGAGAATTTCTTCATCAAACATTATGTTGGTAAAAGGATCTGATTTCACCAGGATTTTAATTATTATTAGTAGCAAAAACCCACTGGGAAGTACCTAGGTCTTTTCTAGATCTAGATCTAGACAACAAATATTTTTGGGCGAATAGAGAAAACTAATGTAATTAAGTGATTTAAAATTCATTATTTTCATATTCAAAGGAAAAATAAGCATAAATCAAAAAAAATCTATACAAATCGAAAAAATCATGATTTTTTGCAACTCTGCTGCTCTGACCCAGCTCTTACTGACACCTTGAGGTTAAGCACCAACAAAGAACAACCATAATTTTTAGGATTTATTAAAATTGAAGTCTTTGTGGTTATTTTTTTTTTTTTTTTTTTATCGCTTGGAGCGCACGAAAGGGAATCCCTATAATGTTCAAAGAACATCGTGCGTTCCTAGGGAGGATAGGGACAGGAGGTAGGTATTGGAATTTTTCTTGAACTTTAGGAGATTATATGTTGTTGGGAATACTTCCACAGGCAATGAATTCCAGAGCCTAGCCGTTCTATGGATGAAGGAGTCTTGATAAAGTGCTGTTCGACATCTTTCGAGGTTGACAACGAAAGGATGTGCTGACTGGGCTTGTCTAGTTCGTCTGATTGGTATTGCTGGTGAAGGGATGAAAGCAGAGATTTCCGAAGAGCATTTCCCGTGGAAGTATCGATAGAAAAGTGAAAGGTCGCCGACCTTTCTACGGTGTTCCAATGATGTCAAAGAGTGAGTGAGTGTGGCGTCACCCACCAGGCGAATGGCTCTTCTCTGGATGGAATCTAAGAGCATCAGCGTATGTTTTGGTGCTGAACCCCAGATGTGGGAACAGTATTCTAGAACAGGCCGTATCTGCGCTTTGTAGATCATGAGAAGCTGTTGAGGTGTTAAGTAGCTTTTCGCACGGAACAAGAATCCGAGTTTTTGTGAAGCAGCTTTTGCGATGGATCTGACATGATTATCCCATGAAAGAGTGTTGCTGATCCTGAAGATTATTAAAGATTCTTTGCTGTGTTTTTCACTTGGAAATTTCCGAGAGAACAAATTGAACAGCTGCTGGATATATGACTAATAATCACTATTTAAGATATCTAACATCATTGTATTTCGACCTACTGCATTGCATACTGAAGGTCAACCCAGAGGCCAACTATTGTTTCTAATTGTTTAATCACTAATTCACCCATATAATTTTTTATTTATCGCTTGGAGCGCACGAAAGGGAATCCCTATAATGTACAAAGAACATCGTGCGTTCCTAGGGAGGATAGGGATAGGAATTTTTTTTGAACTTCTGGAGATTATATGTTGTTGGGAATACTTCCTCACCGAAGGGAATACTTCCTCAGGCAATGATTTCCAGAGCCTAGCCGTTCTTTGGATGAAGGTGTTTTGATAAAGTGCTGTTCGACATCTTTCAAGGTTGACAACGAAAGGATGTGCTGACTGGGCTTGTCTAGTTCGTCTGACTGGTATTGCTAGTGAAGGGATGATAGCAGAGATTTCCGAAGCACATTTGCCGTGGAAGTATCGATAGAAAAGTGAAAGGTCGCCGACCTTTCTACGGTGTTCCAATGATGTCAAAAAGTGAGTGAGTGTGGCGTCACCCACCAGGCGGATGGCTCTTCTCTGGATGGAATCTAAGAGCATCAGCGTATGTTTTGGTGCTGAACCCCGTATGTGGGAACAGTATTCTAGAACAGGCCGTATCTGCGCTTTGTAGATCATGAGAATCTGTTGAGGTGTAAAGTAGCTTTTCGCACGGAACAAGAATCCGAGTTTTTGTGGAGCAGCTTTTGTTATGGATCTGACATGATTATCCCATGAAAGAGTGTTGCTGATAGAAATACCGAGCATAGATATGGTGGGCTTGGTGGAGATGGTGGTGCCAGACATTACAATGTCGGGCATACTGAGTTCCGCCTTTCTAGAGAAAATACAGGCTTGAGTTTTGGTGGCGTTGAAATCAACTAGGTTGTTGGTTCCCCAGGCTGTGATTTCAGCAAGGTCTTCATTGACGGCATTGACCTGCCTGCGCCGTAAGTTCTTAGTTTCCTGAGAAGAAATGAGAATTCTGGAAAAGAACGCAGTATGGAGGGTACTATCATCTACAAAGCTGTGGATGGGGCAAGTTGTTACTCCCAACAGATCATTGATATGAAGAAGGAATAATGTTGGTGCCAAAATTGATCCTTGTGGAACGCCGGAATTGATGCCAATGGTATCAGACGATACACCGTCCACCACCAAGTGAAGCGAACTGCCTGAAAGAAAACTCGATAAGAGATGGCATAGCTGAGGTGGTAAGCCGTAAGATGGTAGTTTGTGGATGAGTCCTTCGTGCCAAACACGGTCGAATGCTCTCGATATGTCCAACGCGACAGCTATAGATTCCCCGTGTTTTTCTTATGAAGCTTGCCATAAATAGGTGACGTAAGCAAGTAGATCTCCAGTAGATCTTCGGTGGCGAAAGCCGTATTGTCTATCACTGATGATTCCTGAGCTCTCCAGATATTTGGTAAGCTCAATATTGATGGGTTTCTCCATCACTTTGGAGATTACTGATAACAGGGCAATGGGTCTGTAGTTTTTGGGCAGGTTCTTGTTCCCTTTTTTGGGGATTGGTTGGACTCTAGCTGTCTTCCAGCATGATGGAAAAATACCCGACCTGTACGAGACAGTAAACAACTTGCAGAGAATCGGTGTTAATTCTGGTGCACATAGAATTGAAACTCTTAAAATGTCATATAATATCATAAATAAAAAATTGAAGTCGAATATTATTTTGATACGGAATTCTGAAATTCATAATCATGAAACTAGACAATATAACTTGTTTCATCTTGACGCCGCTAGCTCCCTAATCGGACAAAAAAGATTCACTTATTCAGCCTCAACTGAATTCAATAAACTACCTGATAATATAAAAAATTGCAGAAATATAGGTACATTCAAAAATGAAGTAAACAAACTGATTATTTCTGAGCGAACTGGATAAAATTAATCGTGCCATTTTTTTTTTTAATTTTTTTTTTGTTTACAAATATTATTCTTTGTTTAGCAATTTACAGTTGTTGATATATTTTGAATGATGCTATGTTTACCTATAGGTATATAATTATGTACTTCCTTATACCAGAGCCTATTCTGTCTGGAAGTTATTTGTTCAATAAATAAATAAATAAAATAAATAAATTCCATCAGGACCGTTAGCCTTATTCGTTTTGACACCAAGCAAAATTCGTCTGATA